CCCCCAGCCAGTGGGACAGCCCTGGGCTTCAGCCCCCTGGCTCACCCTCGCCCCTCTGCGGGCTCTGCTCCCCTCCCCGGGAAGCTGCCGGCAGCTCTGCCTCCTGCCAAGAGAGGCAAACCAGGGAGCAATCCAAGCTTTTTAGCATGAGTGGGTGTTTTTTGCACAAAATCTCTGAAACCGAGAAGCAATCTTCTCCGTGCATCCCAACCAGAGCCGTATTTTTTCCTTTCAGTGGGCTCACAGAGCCCCAAAAGGACGCCGAGCCCAGGGTACCTGTTCCCACAGCCCCCCGACCATATACCATCCCGTTCCCACTGAGGCCAAGGAGTGTTTCCTCAGGCTCTCTCCTTCCAGACGTTCCCCCTCCCACAGCCTCCCTCCCTCCCCAGATCAAAGCATTTGCCTGTTAGGGCTTTAGTTTGCTACGTCACCCCCCAAAAAAAAAAAAAAAAGGTTGCAAAGATAAGTTTTCAAAAGAAATAGCAGTTATTTTTGACATTGTCTAAATGAACAACAAAAAAAAATGTTTCTTATTTTGCATTCATTGCAGCTTTGTTAAATATAAATGGTAAGCATTTTTTAATGCTTAAAGACAAACTAAAATGTTTAATTTTGCTTAAAACAAACCCTTTCCCCACTAACTCAGGGCTAAAGGTCTCTTTCTGTGTTCCACCTACTTTTCAGCCAATATTTTGGACTTCCAGCTCTCAACCCATCACTGGTGCTTTTTGGTCACAAACTCCCCCACCCCATCATCTCCCACCCCAGGGTTTCACGCCTTACGCTCTGCGCTCATCTGCCCGAGCATCCTCTCACCATCCCTGGGACACATCAGTTCCATGGACTCTTCTCCCTCGAGACGCCCTTTTGCATTAAACTCATCATCTCAGGGAGTTTCTGGAAAAGAGATGCTCCACATCAGGACTGCACAATTCCTGGAAGGACGAAGCATCCACAAACACCTGGCTGCAAACATTAATTACCCCAAGCTTCTACAGAGCCGGGGCTGGAGCCCTCCAGCGCCTCTCTGCCACCAAACACCTTGTGTCCAAACCCAGCCACAAAACCCCAATAATTTCCTCCCCCGCTGCCTTTCTTCCCTGGGTTTCTCCCACCCACTTGTTGCAGCTCAAGGCAGACTGATCGCAGAGACGCCAGCCGCATCCCCCTCCCTGCACGCACCTTTTATCTCGCATTATTTTCGTACAAAGCAGCACCGGGAGGAGCTGGAACGGTGCTTTCAGTGCGCAAAGCTGTATCCATCATCCTCTCGAGGGGGTACCCTCACCTGGCGAGGGATGGGAGCCAAGCACACACTGCTGGGACAAACTTTCTCTGCTTTTAGCCATTAATTTCTACTCATTTTCTACTCTGCATGAATAAACCACAAGTTTTTGAAAGCTTTTAACTCAACCATATTCCCACATTATCTGCCGAAGGCATCCCATTGCCCGCATCTTTAGGAACATGCTGAAGAAAACGTGCCCAGGGACTTTTTCTTTTAATAGGAGTAAAAGTTACGTTGTTGGCAATAACCTTGACCTCTGCAAGAGCTAAATATCACACCAAGTCAAAAACAAGGAGCCAGCACCTCACTCAGCTTGAGACGAAGCCGGTTGTATTTCTGTCCGGAATTTCCCTTTAATTAACACCCAAACAGCCGACGTCAAGCAATTTTATCCTTTGCTTCACAAGGCGACTGCAAGGAGGCATTTGGGATTTCCCAGGGCTGCGAGGCACATGCCCACGTCCTACACGGACAGCCCAGGGCAGGGACATCTGTCCCTGGAGGGGACCGTGCTGCTTCGGGACTCATCTGAACCGCATCTCGCTCCAAAAAACCCACACAGCGAGCTCTGAATGCGCCCAAGGCGGAAAGAAATATTGTTATCCTCGAGGAACTAAAGGAAATGAACAAAGAAATCCTTTCTAATTACCAGAAATGTTTGATGGGCTCAGAACAAACATGTTGCTCCGCTTTCAAAACCTCAGTTGAAAAGCTATATTTGGGCAAATTTCAAAACAACACATTCTTACTTTTTTCCCTCCCACCACATTTCTCCCGTATGCTTTTTTTTTTTTTTTTTCTTTTCACCTGGCAATGACTATTACCCAAATCCAGCACACACTTAGCCGCTCGCCTTGCATCTCTTTTGGCCAATTAGGCTGGCACACGGATTGCTGAGCACAGCTCTAAGGACGACCTCGGACCAGACCTTTAGTACATCGACTCCTTTGCTTTCCCATCTGCAAAATGGGAACAAATGTGCTCTGGTCAGGCAAGCAAATCTACCTCGCTAGCTCTCCAGAACCGAACAGGGCACTGGCCCGTTTCATTTGTTTCATTTCCAAGAGACAAAAAAAACCCAATGATGTATAAATATGCATTTAGGTAGGGGAGCTTTTCTGGGATATTTGGGGTTGTTTGTTTTTTGGTATCAAGCAGAGAATCGAAAATGCATATTTAAATTTGACAGGCAGCACCCGATCTGTGAGGAGCCATTATGGTCCGCTGGGCACATTTAAACATGATTTTTGTGCGTATTTCCAGGGGTTTTTTTCCCAAGCTGTCTCACTGCATATTCACATCTGGGACCACTCTGGTCTCTGGAGTAAATAACACTGAAGTTTTCAATAAAGGAGAGATTCCCTCCCTCCTTGCAGGGCCGGGGAAGGGGGGCAGAGCATCCCAAAAGCGGGCGTGCAGGGTGCGAGGGGCTGCGGGTAACACAGCGGGATTGGGACCTTTCGCTGTCCCGTGTCCCATCCCCAGGACTGCGGTGTGACCTCCCACGCAGCACCACCGGCCATCACTTCAAAGCCATTCCCTGCAGAAAGGCAGGGGGGAGGATGAGGACTCCCAGCTCCATTCACAGATGATCCACCACGACATCCAGCCATGCATCCCCAGGATCCAACAACACATCCCCAGGGTCCAGCAACAAATCATTTCTACATGGAAAGGGTTATCAAAGACTGGCACAGGCTGCCCACGGAAGGGGTTGAATCGCCACCCTTGGATGTATTTAAAAGCCCTCTAGATATGTTGCTCAGGGACGTGGGTTAGAAGTGGGCCTGGTAGAGTTAGATAATGGTTGGACTTGATGATCTTAAAGGCCTTTTCCAGCCCTAACAATCCTATGATTTGATGATCCAGGCATGGGGTCCAGGCGTGCATCCCCGGGCTCCAGCCACGCATCCCCAGGGTCCAGGCATCAACACAGCCTCCACCAGGCCGATCCCAGCCCCGGAACATGACCCAGACCCCTCGACAGTGCAAGCCAAAGCATAACCGCAGGACCACATGCTGCAGAGCATCGTCTCTGCTGACCACCAGGTCCCAAGGCCACCGTCCTCCTCACAGTGTTTGTTTGCATCCCGCTCCACAGATCGCCCTTCCCAACCCAATTCAAGGTCATTTCCAGCTCCTCCAAGCCCTTCCACAGGGCTTCCTCTTTGCAAAGACCCCAAGCGCTCCCTTACTGGGTTTCTGCGCTCCTCGGGGGGGTGGGGGAGCTGCTGGGGGAGCAGGAGGAGCGTTGGGGTGCCAGCACTGCCGCTCCGCAGCCCCCTCCATCCCTCCTCCGCCTCCCTCCCTCCTTCCTGTCCTCTCCCTGTGTGTGTTTGTGTCTCTGCCTGAATGAAAGGCTACCCTTTTCTCCTTGACATCTTGTTAGAATGTGAATACAACATCTATTGATTTGCATTTCATGCAAGGAAAGAAAAAAGTAGCTTTTTTTTTTTTTAATAAAAAAAAAAAGAAAGAAAAGAAAAAGCCTCTCTGAACTCAGAGCTACTACAGGAATAAACAGAAGATGCAAGCAAATGCAGCCTGAGCTGCCTGCCTCCAGCACCCCGGCAGGATTCAGCTCCCCCAGCATCAGACCTGTTATTCAAGCACCAGCCGCCTTGACCCCCTGCACGTGGGCAGCAGGAGGACCTCCCCGGTCACCCTGCAGCCCATGGGAACTTCACCGATCTCCCCTGGGTACATCAGGCAGATGCATCACCCTTCCCAAGGGCTTCTTCATCCCAGGGGCAAACACAACGCGTTGCCCCATGGCGAAGGCAAGTCAAGAACAATTTAGCTGGGCAAAGCAACTACATAAGCAGCAAAGGGAGAAGCAGGATGGTGCTGGGGAGGAGAGGCAGCAAACAGCACTGCTCACCTCTTGAAACTCCTGAGGTTTGCATTAACCTGCCGGCAAGCTCCTTTCCCGCAGG